ATGTGGAAACATTTCAATTTGACATTTTCTACATGAACTGTTCTGCGTCTGCTGTTCAAAGCAAACGTTGAAACCTGAAACATTTTGAAACACGTTAAAATAAAAAAATTGAAAGGGATGGAAATTAAAGTCAATGTTTCAAAGCAAGGAAATTGCACGCAAATTGATTCCTTTTTTTTTTTTTTTTTTGTTTAAAGAAGTTGCTGCTTTTCAGCTGAATTCAGGATACCAGACCTTAAGAAAAGCTAAGGACCTATTTATGGAATAGGATAAAGAAAGGCTAAGGACCTCTTTGTGGAATAGGGTATGGAGAGTCAAGACTACTGTGTCTGAGATCATGTTTTACAGCTGTTTCCTGGAGGGGAAAGTGGGAGTCTCTTTAGGAGCTACTGATGTTGTTCTGACTGGAAGATGGCATCCCAGGCACACTGCCATTGATGACTAAGTCTGCTTTTTCCACAGCAGTCAGGTGCTGGGCAAGACAGACCTTGCATTTCTTCCCACAGGTCACAACATGTCAGAAATGGTTTTTGCTCCTTCTACATTGTTGGAAAGGAAAAGAAAACCCAACACAAAACACCAACCAAAGCCAGAACATACCCCCACGAGAGCAAAACTGTAATATAATAATATAGTAGAAATAACCCAAAACAGAGCAGCCTTCAAAACTAGAGGTGTGTTGTTTTGTGTAGCAAGCAGACCACCCGCTAGCAAGCAAGAAGAAAAGAGCATACATGTGTGAATGCAAAATGTTGTCAGCATGGGTTTTAGTCACCACAGCAGTGAGACTGCCTGTGCCAGTAGCCTGGGTACGGGCAAAATCCTGGACTGTCTGCCTACAAAATCAGTGCTACGGCCTGAAACTGAACTTTTTACCTTTATATGAACACAGCTTGTGAAATTCTGAAGCTCAGCTTGCAAGTAATGCTACAAGTAAAGGTTGGGGAGCTTAGATTGTGTGTTCATATTATCTGTTTATCCTTCCTCCAAAATGAACCTTATTGCTGTCTGGATGTGCACTTCTAAGGTTTTATTCTTGTAAGTAATGAACAGAAATTAGATTAAGAAAGTTACAATCAGGGGGTGTGGGAGGGTGGGGAAGTTGTTTTCAGTTTGCTGTTATTTGAAAGCTGCCTCAATACTATAACTCTTCCTACATGTATAGGAAATTCATGGGTTTAAAAACATATTGAAAAGCCATAGGCAATGTCTGAGTTTGCACTGAGTTGTGAAGGTGAAAGAAGGGCACCAACATCATGCAAAAGGCATCAAATTATGATTTTTTGTCCTGCAGTTCATACACAACCAACCAACAAGAGCAGTGAAGAGGTTTTGGTAGAGAAGAAGGACCATCTGGAGCACAGTGTGGCTGGAAAGAAAAAGCAAACCCCTTCAAATAAACATTGGGCATGTGTTTGTAATAGCTGAAAGACACACTGTCTGCAAATGAAAACTGGAATTTAGGCTTCAGATAAATACCACAACTGGGCAGGAATAGCTGGATGGTCTGACATGTTATGAAATAATATACAGATCACAGTAAAGCAGAAAAAAACCCTCTGAGACAAGAGTGAGAGTCTGCACGGCTGTCTCTAGCACGTCCCTCTTTCTTTGTGCAAGTGGTGTCCGTACTTCTGATCTGTGCATGTTGGACAGATGTACTCCAGGCAAAGAACTGCTAAGCCAGGGGCAGCTCTTCTCTTGAGCCTGGGGGTGTCCGTCCCCTCCAGGTCTTACCAACCCGGTTAAAATGTTTGTGCTTCTGCAAAACAGAAAAAGTATCTGAAGCACAAACTTGCACAAGACCCTGCAGCTTTCTTCTGTGCACCCCTGGACAGGTGTTTTTACATCTGACAGCTTCCCACAACCCACAAGGGTTTTCCCCTTAGCGAGTAGGTGTGCTTGCTGTGCCTGCACCATGACCCCCAGGGTGTTCCACTGGCTTCCCCCAGTTCACAGAGAAGGGCAGTGGCAGCTCAGTCTGCCAGAGGGAAGGGGAGCGTTGGGAGAAAGCCACAAGTTCCTTCTCAAGGGGGTGTCCATTTTCTGTGTTTTCCTGTATAATGGCTAAATATTCACACCATGTTAGTATTGCCTTGATAGTGAATAACCTGTACTGTTCTTGCAGTTTATGATATTGTTCTCTTGATGCTTTGTTCTCAAAACTGTTCTCAAAATGCTTTGTTTCCTTTGTATCTGCATTTGGACAGAAATAGGGGTCTTGTGAGTACAGTGAAATGGATTCACAATAATCATGGTATCTTTTTGGTTTTAGCAAGGATTTGTTTCATGCTATTGTAGGAGTCAAGCAACCTGTGCAAGTCTCAGCTCTTCTGTCTGTGCAGTGGCAAAACTGTGATAGCCTGCAGAGCAGAGGGGTGGAAGGGTCCCTCCGGTGATGGTTGCAGAAGTACAAGAAACAGTGAAGTGTTTTTTCATCACTACACAAGGAGACAAGAGAATTTTTCTGATACTTTTCATATTTGGAAATGTAATTTCCATGATTCCTTAAAAAGTAGTCACCAAATTCAGATGTTCAGCTTTGCTGGGCAGAACTGTTATGATTTATTCCAAAGTACAGGGTTAAAGGCCTCATTTGCAGACAGAGAGACACTGCATAATTATATTAGCTGGTATTTGTATTAGCCAAAAGACAGGCTTGGATCAGCTTGCTTCTTGAGCATAATAAGCCACAAATGACTATAAATATTCCCACCCTATCAGCAGCTGTCACATCATCTTAGCAGCTGTCAGGGGGTACAGCTAGAAATCTGTGACTGTCCGAAGAGCAGAATGGAATCTGAGGTAATATAAAACCTCATCACTAAACAATTGAGCAAATAGGTTCATACCCGCCTTAAAAAGTAAACAAACAGCATCACCGTAGTGAGCGTATATTTATATTTAGAAGTTTCATTTTCTGTGTGCTTCTGCCCTCGCAAACCTTTGAATGGAATCTGACAGCCATGATTTTGTTTCTGATGCTTTAAACAAATATGCTACAAAAGTGGCACTTCCTCCTAAAGCAACTCTGCCTAAGCAACACTGTCACACTCCTGACAGCGTTAACTCTCATGATCCATTGATATGGAAGATTACACATTAAAAAATTGCCAGAAAATTTGCAGACCTGCCAGAAATGACAGGCAATTTGAACTGGAATAGGCGTAATGAGTATTGTCATCTACTACCTGTGCATCTGGGTTTTACTCTTCACACATTCAGCCTACTTAGTCCAAAGTGTTAATTTGCCATCCTCTTCCATCTGCAGTAAATACACACATAGGACGTAGGCGCACACCAGAGTCATCTGAACTGAGACACAAGCTCCTGAGTGGTTGTGAGCTGGGGCTCTGATATGCAGAGCCAAAAGGCTGCAAAGCAGGACTTTCAGGACATACTCAGGAAGGATTTCTTTGGCAAAGGCTCATTACCTGTTTCTTTAGGTGAAACTCAGAGCCTGTCTTGCCATAAAGAAGCAAAAGCAGTATCTGCCAGTAGAAAAGTAGACAGCTTGGAAGTTTCTGATTCTGTCTTTTACACTAAGATGGAAATTCCTGCTCCAAAATGTCAGAGTTTTGGTACTCCTGCATTTCCAGAGGGTCCAAATCTGACCTGTTGGGAGACGGGAAAAAACCCATTCATGGAAGCGACTCATTTTTGGGTAGGGTACCCTTTGCACATTCCACTTAGGCAGGATGCATAAGGGTAGGATGATCCACCCTGGGCACGACCTGACAAGGCCATCCTGGTCCAATTGCTGGTGCCCCACGTAGCACGCGTGGCAGCCAAGTGGTATCAGCTGGCCACAGGCAGGCTTGTACCTTGAGAGGAGGATGTCACCCCCACGCAACACAAAACCTAGCGCTTGTAATTGTATGAACAGTTATTCTGGCACCTTCACAGCAAAGTCAAGAGGGACAGGAAGGCTGAGGCTGAAGAGTAGGAGAGATGCATGTGATGATTCTGGTGAGGGCTGGGACGTCGAGGGTGCAGGACTTGCTTTGGGCTCTCACCCAACAGCCAGCAGCTGAGATTTAGTAGGAGACCAGCCATGTTTCTCCAAAGTTTCTCCACTGTCAGGGTACTCTGAAGTTAACAAGATGATTACTGCATGACTGAGGATAGATGCAGCAGCATATCCCCAGTGTACACCTCAGGTTAGCATCAACAAAGCCTCTTTTAATCTCTGTGCCAGGATGTTATTCTCCAAACCTGTCAATGCACACACTTCCTAAAGGAGAATTTCATTAGTATTTGTTTTAGGAAGGAAGGAGCTGTTCTAGAGCAACCAGAACTGGTACCACTGGCCACTTTCTTTTATTTCTTGAACCATGTTCAAAACAGTTGTTACAAGAAATTCCTCTTACATTTCATCATCTCATCTCACAACATGCAATAAATATATTCCATAGATCCTGAAGGGACAAAGAACACTGTGAAGAGATTGTTAAAAAAAGAGAAAAACAGGAAAGAGAAGGAAAACCAGATGTTTTGCATGCTAGTGAGGCAAATGTGTAGGAAGAGAATTTTATTAGCCTGGCCAGACTAAGCTGGGAAAAAACAGGAAAGATTTCAGATGTGAGGAACTATCAAAACCAGCAGTGTGGCAGTGACATTTTAATAGATATATTTGCTTCCCCAAAACAATGTGTGACTCAAATACAGTAATGTTAGGTCACTTTTTAACTGCAATTAGGCTCAAAAGGCAGCAGCAATTTTAACATACTATGAACTAGCCCCTGGAGAGACCTTTTCTGCACATCTTTCTCTGGGTTTGATGAATTCACTAAATGTTTTCAGATAGGGCTTACATTCCTGATGGCCTCTTTCCCTCTTTCCCCCATTTTTTTGTTGTTTTATTAGAATAACTTTTTGATTTACAGGATGAATTGTTCATGTTAATATGTAAGTTGAAGGGCATGTGGTCTATCTGAGACCCAAGCAAGCTTTCCTACTCTTGCTTGGCAGTTCCCATGGCAGCATCTGTTAGCGCTCACTTATCCTAACATCTTTCTGATTTACCTCCACTTGCGTCTTCTATTATCTCCTCTTGCCACCAATTTCCTCTTTCCTAGCATCTGACAAGTTGACTAGCACCTTCATACAGCAACAATCACACCTCCCCCCAGCATCTTTCAGCCCTTGCTGACAGCTGAATAATACAGTATCTGTCCTGTTTCAGAACTGTCATTCCCACATGATAATTTTCAGAGAATAATTTCTCTGGTGCCCTTTGTTTCTCTTTGCTCTGTCTCCCAATTCTACTCAGTCAGTTTACAGTTTCTCCAATATTTACTCCCCAGCAATTCATTCTGACTTTGTAAGCGGAGCAAGAAGCTGAGTAAGTTCCACCCAAATGCTGAGCTGTGTATTTTGGGAGGTAGGTATGCAAGTCTCACGATAGAAAACCATTATCTTGTCTGACTGTCAGGTAATACTTAGGGTCCAATTTCTGCAGTGCAAACATTTGCATGGCTTGAAAGTAATTTATCCAAACATTTGACAACAACTGCGTGGAATTTACTACGGCTGAAAACACTCACATCAGTAAAACTAATCAGGTGAAATACTTGCAAAAAGCAGCACTCTTATCTCTCTAGGAAGACTGGGAACTTCATAATACTTGGTATTTTTCTTGAAATCTCTTTTTTTTTTCTGCAGAGTCTCAGTTTTTGCTCAAAATAAAAATCCATTTTTGGGATTTGGATATTTTTGGATATTTTTTTCAGAAAAATACTGAAAATATCCTAAAGATTAAAAAAAAAACCAAAACAACAACAACCCCCCAAAATACAATTAAAGGTATATATCTCTTTAAATCTCATCATTCTGGCTTGTAACAGCTTAGCCTAATAAGCTAGAATTACTGAAGAAAATGTATTCAACCCAAAAGCAGGCTTTTAATGATTCCCAGGCTATTTTTGCAACTCTTGACGAACCTGTTCCCTTTTTAGGAACAGCATTGTTATATACTCAGTATGGCTCCCAAATGCATTCATGTGCTTCTGGTTCTTGCAATTCTGGAAGAAGGGGTGTTCCCTTGCCTTTACTTGCTCTCTGCCTGCAGTTCCCACTACCTTTAGTGGCTTTTGTGGAATCTGTTTCTATCTCACTGGACAGTTGTTGACCTGTATAAAACTGTGTGGAGCTGAGGGTGTCCCCGGGAAGCCGTGATATAGCAAAATCAGTACCCATTTCAGGAGGGTAAAGATATGCCTGTGCCCAAGCAAATCACTGCTTTTGTGTGACAGCAGAGAGCATCTCTCTCAGCTGTGTTCCAGTACCAGTTCTCCATCCACCCTTATCACCCACATGCAGAACACCCCGGAAACAGCAAGTGATGTTGTCTTAGAGAAACACCATGCTGTCATGCTGGATTATGCAGAGCTGCAGACCAGCTGAGGAACGATGGTGCCCTCAGGTATCACCTAGTCTGACCCTCTGCTCAGGGAGGGCCAGTGAGAACAGGTTGCTCCAGGCTGTGTCCAGCTGGGGGGTTTTAATATCTCCATGGATACAGATTCCACAGCCCCTCTGGTCGACCTGTGCCAGGGATTGATCAGCCTCACAGTAAAGAAGTGTCTTATTATGTTCAGTGGAACCTCCTGTGTTTTGTTTTGCACCCATTGCCTCTTGTCCTATGCCTCTGAGAAGAGTCTGGCTCCACAATCTTTACTCCTTCTTTACTCCTCTATAGATATCATCAGGTATTTACACATACACATTTTTATATATATACACATTACCACCACCATATAGAAACACCACCAGGTATTTTTAGATACAAAGATTCCACTGAGTCTTCTCCAGGCTGAGCAGTCCCAGGTTTCTCAGACTCTCCTTGTATGTGTGCTACAATGTACACCCATTAACCATTTCATGTGCTCAGCTGCATCCCTGGAATATTCTGGTTTCTAGATGCTTGTTTATAGAACATGGGTACTTCTGTGACTAACGAATGTACCTGTGTATGTTCTGTATGCCCAAATAATTTAAAAATGCCATTCTGTTCTTGCCTCTGCGTCTACAGCAGGTACTTACAACAAGTAAACCACACTGGCAGGGTCTTACCCTATACCCAAAAACGTAACAAAAAATTACTCACATCATATTTTGTGTATTTGATGCAACCTCAGTGGCAAAGATCTGAAGCAAAAGTGAACCCCAACCCCTCCCCATTCCCTGTAAGGATTTCAGAGGGGAAGGGAAGCCTGAAAAAGGAGGGAAACCCTGTTGATATCTCATGGGAAAGAGGGGAGGAAAGCAGGCCTGAAACATGTTAGTGTGGCTGATGCTGCTTCATTAGATCTGAGAAGTGTTTCTCTTAAGAATCATCCCTTAAAGTGAAGCAAAGCTTTTGATGGCAACAGAGCCCAGGAGCCAGGGCCAGCTGGCCTGCTGGAATGTCTGGCAATGAATGGACAGGGAGAACAGCCCCAGCACTGGGCACAGCAGGACAGCCTCCCCCAAGGAAGGGGTTGATGAGGAAGCCTGGGCCGTCCCTGCCACCTGCAGGAAAACACCTGCTTGAGCTGCTGCTTCTGATCTGAGAAATGAGAGTAGAGACGAAGGCTTTCCTGTCTGTTGGAGCGAGCAGGAGTAAAGTGTGACAAGAGCCCAGAGAAGGTCCCTTCACACAGCTGGGGTGCCAGCCTAAGCCACAGCATCTAATGGTCCCAAACACCCCGGGGAGGGGTGCTCTGGAGGGGCAACATTTGCCCCACCAGATGACAGAAGAGGGTAAAAAAGCATTCCATAAACTGAGATAACTTATGTTGTCCTTTATCGAACTTGCAAATATTTTCTTCTTTATCCTCAGCTAAAGTAATGTGAATGCAATTGATTTATATCTTAGAATGAGTTGGGAGAATTTACTCCCTGAGCACAAGGATAGTTAGGTGTAATTTTCTAATGGAGGATGAGAAATGGAGGAAGTGTCTCAAATGATCCCATCTAAATATGGCCCTTTGTTCTCCCAGCCAAGCCCTGGCAAAAGGGCTAAGTGGGAAAAAAGAGGCTCCTTTAAATTGCCTGTCTGAAGCTATTGACTTGGTGTAATTTTGGCAGGTTCCTTGGGTATTACAGGACAGAACCACTCCCTGCAGTCAGGGTTGTTCCGGCAAAATCATTGTAAAACCTTTGATTATACAATCCTGTCCAGCTACTTCTGAGTGCTATTTCACTGCAGTAAGAGCTCGGGAACAAATACTTCCTATCGGTTGTGTAACGTAGGCAGAGCCCCAAAATGAAAGGTGCTTTGTAAAGGGTGGAGAGGCTCAAACCCAGAGAGAGCTCCTTGCCAGCCACGTGTGAATGTCTGCCTGCTCCAGTGGGATTAAACCTAGGTGAAGGGGAATTCCTTCTGGATGAGACTGGCTGAGCCAGGATGGAGCTAAACATGCACTTATGCCTGTGGCCACGCTATAGGGCTCTGCCATAACCTCACCACTGAAGGTGACAATTACACAAGGATATGCCATAGGTACATTCCTGCCATAGCAAAGGCAGCACAGTGATGCCTCCATGCCCTTACAACATGGTGGCCACGGCATACATGCAGGCAAGGCTGGACTGCCACCCACAAAGGGCATCCCTTGTATCATCACCCTCATCACAGTGATGATCATGTGTCATGGAGATCCATCATAGAATTATGGAATAGTTAGGGTTGGAATGGACCTAAAGATCATCTAGTTTCAACCCCTTGCCATGAGCAGGGACACCTCACACTAAACCATGCCACCCAAGGCTTTGTCCAGCCTGGCCTTGAACACCACCAGGGATGGAGCATCATCATCATGGTGATTATCATCCACTGGCAGCAGGAGTGGGGGCGGGAGGGATGGAGCCAGGGAATTTGGCACCCTGCCATTCCTGGCTAGTTCCACGTGTGTGCACACACACAGACTGCCAGGAAGCCCCTTCTCCTCCTCTCCTTTCTCCCTTAGCCTCTAACATCCCGCTTTGAGGGCCCAGCACCATGGGCCTCACTCACTTGTCACTAACAGAAAGACCCTGGGGGTTCTTCTGGGGAGTAGAAATGCGGAGAGAGGAAGAGGTCACTCCACCAAACCACAGTGAAGCAAAGAAACAGCTACACAAAGCCGGTCACGAGAACATCTCCTTGGGAAACCCAGGTCCAGTTTTCCTATTTACTACCTGTGAAAATGGGAGCACCCTTCAACCTGCTCAAGGCTCGAGTGAAGCTGTGCTCCCAGTAAAGGGGTAATGCCTGGTGCCATCAATGTGCAATCAAAGGTAGCGCCCTGCTTTACCACACTGTGTTATCACATTATGCCTTCAAGTTTGAGACCCATGTGAGACATCTGCAGAATGAGGAGGGTAGCTTATTTTCGGGGGACATTTCTTCCATTTTGCCTCACCTGCTTGGATAATACTGGAGCATGTTGGCATTTCACATTCCTACAGCCACCCTGCATATACTGCTTGCCCTTACAGGGTCCTTCTGTTTGATCATATTTCCCAGATCTCTTTCTTGTCTAATCCAAAATTACACCTGGAGGGTAAATTATTTCTTCTGCCACAAAAAAAAAAAATATTTTTTTATTAAAAAAAAGGTGGGGCTTTTTTATGTTTTGGAAAATGGAGGGGTTTGGAAGTAAGGATGGAGACAAAAGAACAGCTAGAAAACAAATGCGGGGGGGGGGGGGGGAGGCACAGAGAGCTCCACTGAAACTGGAAAACGGGGTGGTTCTCATGAAAAGTTTTAATTTTTAACAAGTATGACACTTTTATAATGACAAAATCATTAAGTAAAATGTGCTGGCCATGTGTACCCTCAATTCCCTTCTTCTCTAACTATCTGGTACCTTTCTTCCATTCCTCCTTGGAATACCAGTATATTCTTATTCTTGTTCTCCCTTTCTTAAAAAGAAATTAAGCAGAACAATATTCATAATTCTGTTAAAAAACATATATGTGTTTTTGATCCTGTTTATGCATAGTATTTTTGTAAGGCCAGCCATAAATCAATCTCTCTTGCTGCATTTCTTCTTTGCAGTGAAGTGGTAAAATGTGGAGTGCTCTGTAACTAGAAATGTAATTGTGTAGACATAAAAATCATATCCATAACCATCTTATGGATACTTATCTCAAGATGTGCCTCTGTGTTCTTCAGAACAGTAAGTGCAGCAGCTGAGACAGGGGGAGCTTCAATGTTGTGACTCATTTATTTCCAGCAGATGTAATACACT